CGGCGGCCCCCGGTGTATTGGGCCTGAGTTTCCCCAGGTAGAGGTTTCTGGGGGGGGGGGGAGGGAAAGCTGAAGTTGGGGCAAATAAAGGTAGGTTGGCTGGTTAGTGCAAATGAGAGAAGGAAGCAGGGAAATGGAAGAGGCTATAGGAGCTCTCAGAGAAGAGAAAGAGGAAATAGTGGGGGGAGGGGAAAATGAGATGCCCTCTGCAAGTTCTTGCAGGTACCCCACTTGTAATTAGATAATTCAGGTAATACATAATTTACGCTGATCCCATGAAGTAGAAGCAGTTGCCCTCTGTCTAGCAGAGTATTGTTGCTGAGGCACACTACTTCTTTGAATCCAAAAGTTTCAGAATCCTGTTTAGCAGCGTTTGAATTCCATAGTCATTGTAATTTGAAGAGGCATTTGATGACGAGGTTTTAATTATCGCTATGAGTAAGAGTATAATTAATGAGGTAATAATCATGGTTGTAAGTTGGGAGACTCAGGTATAACATATATATTATTAGCTTCTCATCTTTCTAAGCTTATCTGTGTTAAGCACATGTGTTTCATTTTACTGACTACCAAAAGAAGACTGTATACAGCTAGTCCCTAATTCTCCCTCTCTTGAAATCCCATCCTTTGTGTACTTGGCCTAGCACTCTCCTTCTGTACTTTGACTCCTTTAGGTCTCAGTGAAGCTGGGATGATAAACCTTAAATTGTCTCCAAAGATAGCAGCATTTGTTCATGATTAACCCTTTCAGCCAATTAGATTATGGGAAGCTTTGCAAGTACAGGATGTTGTGCGTGTTTCAAAAGTTGGCTGGCATTTTATGCATGGACCTTGCATATCTATGGAGTGGCTATATTGGGTTTTATTATGTAAGTTGCGGTGACACCTTCTGCTTCAGCATGTGAATGATGAGAAGAAGAGGGAGAATGCTTTCTGGGAGTTATGCACACACAAACACGTAATTTATGCCACTGTTGAATTAAATAGCATCTTTCTCTGTGGACTCCTTAGTCCATCAGCCACAAAATGTTGCGTCTAAATATAGGTGATCATTTTGCCAACTTTACTGTCTTAGTAAATGCATTGAGTTAACAGAAAAAAAAGGGGGAAATGACAGAGTGGGGTGTGGAAACTAGTGGATGAATGGGCTGCTAATATAATGACAGTTCAAGGGGGGGGGAACCCACAGAACACTATTCTGCTGCAAAGTTGGAGTGAGCAGCACTCAACGAAGGTCTGCCTTGATCCTGGCCGGGTGCTTGTTCCTCCTCCTTTTTCTCATCTAAAAAGAATTCCCCATTTACTTCCCAATATCATGTACCAATTTAGTGTCGCTGGATGTGCTCACAGCATCTTGGGCAACTCTGCCATCAACCACCAACCAAGATGCCATTTTCCAGTGGGGACCCACAGCTGACCCATGCATGGAAGACACCAGTCTATTTTGCCATTTCACACACCAGAATCCGGTTGCAAAGTGGATTGAAAGTCCGTCATTCAGTATGTGTGAAAGCACCTGAGACACACATGCTCTTCAGACATTGTATACAGGCAGAAAGAAACTGTAACACCTTCAGGGCCTGCATGGAGAAAGCAGAGACCCAAGCTCTGCAAGGACCTCCATGCTGACAAAGTGCCTTGCATAATTCTCCCCTCCTCTGTTACATCCTAACAATGATCAAGTGAAGAGGCTATAGGAGCTCTTAGACAAAAAGTGTGTGACCGGTTCAAGATCATCCAGTAAACTTCCATGGTGGAGTGGGGATTCGAATGGCCATACCATTTATTTATTACATTTTTATCTCACCTATCATGTTGTCAATAGGAGTTTTCAAAGTGTTGCTGACTGGTTCATCAATGAAGCCAAATAGCTTGGCATTGCCTTACCGTAATTTCATGGAAACCTTAGTTTTTAGAACTAGTTGCTTACTTCTAATGGAGAGGTGCAGTAGATCCATGCATTTTTTTTTAAGTCCAGAATGCAAGAAAGTTTTTTAATTCTTTTTGTTTTGTCCTTGGAAGAAGCCTGAGCACATGGGGCTGATACGCAGAGAGGACACTTTTGGTTCATGTGTTGATAGTTCTTAGTTTTAAAGATCTACTTTTTATGGCACATATAATGAGAAAGTCTTGCTTTTTCTTTTTAAACATCAGTGTATGCAAAGAAAAAAACATCTCTGAACAGGTAAAAGACAATGTGTTGAGTATTGACACTTGACAGTTAAAGTTTATCTCAGAGTGTTAGCTTCAACCATAGGTGTTTGGGTTGGCTAATTGGTATATAGCTGCTGGGTTTAATTCACAAAACTGTGGGTGTGTATTTTATTACAGCAGAGGAAGAAAAAAATGCAGGTGGTGGAGATTTTTATAGATGAAGAACTTCCACTTTTTGAAAAAATGGAGAATCTTCTTTCAGGTTCATGTTGGAAAATAAGCAGCTTTTAATATGCATGAACTGGTCGTTATACAAGTAATATGGAATAATGTATGGCAGGCAAAGTTGCAGTATTTTACAGTTCAGGAAAGTGTCAATGCCTGGGTTGAATCTAGTCAACTTGCTCATTGAATTTCACGCACTTCCTCTTCCTTTTGCTGCCCCCTGTACGGTCTTTGTATATGCAGATCCCATTATCCTCAGCTGAGCCCTTTTATATCACCAGAAAAGCTGACCGGGAGAATATCTTATACTGGTCACTGCTCAAATCAGCTAATTAGAATAGTATGAACTATGAGAATGAATAGACATCCTACTTACAAGCAAGTCCCTAAAAAGGTTGCATGTACCACACCTTTCCATTAGCGTGCGTAAGGCAGCTAACAAAAATTGCCCAACACCATTTCACTAAACCAATACAAAATTATCAGAATCTTACAGTGGCAACACTAAAAAAAAACGGAGAAAACTGACAATGGGCACTTCCTTCTGCCACTTACAGTGAATGTTGTCCAGTGGTTACAGCAAGGCTTTTGTGCCAAACTATCTTCTATTTCGCATGCTTATTTTCAGTTGTGTTTGTATCCTTCCTTGCTGCATATGTTAATTTTTCTTCAAAGAGATTGTGTAGCCTGTGTCAGTATTTGTGCATGCTAACATATGCCATACATTCTCTTTTTATTGAAGCAGTTGCTCTCCACCCACCCACCTACGCACATTCTAGGCTCTGAGGCATATTCTGAATGTTTTTACTCCATAGGAAATGTGAGAAACAGCACTACTTGCAAATGAATTAGTGACACCCATCCAAATGGGGGATGAGATCAGGATTTGGCACTTTGTCTTAGACTTGGGGGTTGCCAGGCTACTGGCTGAACTAATCCCATATCACACAATGGGGCGGGGGGGGGAGTATGTTCTGTAAACGGTTAGTTTTCTTCCAGGGCAAAGCTCTAGATCAGTCTTTACAACCACACTGTTTTTAAACTGCTTGGAAGCTTTAGCTGTAAAAGGAGTGTGAACACTGTATGAATGACCTTGTATGATGGCCTATATGAATGATCCGCTGTATGACTGCCAGCTCTTTTCATAGGAAGGGATCAAAAGTTCTGATTGACTCAGGGCACATTAGTATTATCCAGCAGTCAAAATTCAGAGGAAAAAACTGGGGAGACTTTTAACCACTCTCCAGAAAACAGTACCTTCAAAAGCATTACCAGGGTACTGCTTCAAGGATGTCCTTTGCCTCTGGATCTGTCACTGACAGAGTTACTGTACGGTTTTCACCCTACTGATCTCCAAATTGGCATGTTGGTGAAGAAGCCCTGCATGGATTTAGCTTCCTGTATTATTTCTTAACTGGAATTTCAGCACTCTCATCCTATAATCATTAAACAAATATAATAAAAGTTCTGTTGAGGCATTCAGGGTGGCTATACATTTTGTACTTTGATTGTATTGTGTTACAGACCACCAACCTGGATTAATTTGCTGTACTCCCAACCTCCTCGCTCCCATCTTGTGGGTGTGGAGAGAAGGGAGGTTGCTTTCTTCTAGGCACAAAAGGTACTGGAATGCCAATCAAACTGAAGGTGTCCCAGGGGCAGCCTGTGAAACTGAACTGCAGCCTCGAAGGAATGGAAGACCCAGAAATGCTGTGGATCAAGGATGGAGCTGTGGTCCAGAGTGTAGACCAGGTGTACATCCCAGTAGATGAAGAGCACTGGATTGGTTTCCTCAGGTAGGTTTGATGTGCAAAAGTGGAGCAGGGAGTGTCAGATTGTGGTCAGGGCTGTGTGTGTTCCACACCTTTGCTATACAAACATGGAACTTGCTATCTGGAATTCCACTGGAACTTTCCTTCTTACCTGGCTTAAAACCTTAGACACCTGAACATTTTATGTTAATGCCTTGTAAGTTCAAAGCTCTTTCCTGTTGTTTTCTCATTCATGGTTGTGGCGAAGAGCGTAGAGACAAAGGGACACAGTCAAGTGAAAACTCATAAAGCAGAGGTGACCCAAATGTGGCTTGAGCCTGTCAGCATATGGGACCAGTCTAGCCACAGCTCTTTTGCTGCCTTGAGCTCTGTGGATACTGAATGAATATTTTTTAGTTTACTGTTATTTCAGCTCTCCCCCTCTTCTCATTCTCACCAGTGTAGAGTAGTAGTTAGAGCGTCAGAATAAGATCTGGGAAACCCAGGTTTGAATCCCCTCTCTGCCATGGAAGCTTGCTGGGTGAGCTTGGGGCAGTCACACACTCTCAGCCTAACCGATTTCAGAGGCTTGTTGTGGGTATAAAATGGAGGACAGCAGGAGGAGGAGGAGGAGGAGGAGGAGGAGATTGGATTTATACCCCGCCCTTCACTTGGAGTCTCAGAGCGGCTTACAAACTCCTTTCCCTTCCCCTCCCCACAACAGACACCCTGTGAGGTGGGTGGGGCTGAGAGAACTCTGACACAAACTGCTCTTTTTCAAGGACAGCTGTGCCAGAGCTTGTGACTGACCCAAGGTCACATCAGCAGGTGCAAGTGGAGGAGTGGGGAATCAAACCCGGTTCTCCCAGATTAGAGTCCGCGCACTTAACCACTACACCAAGCTACTTTGGGACTCATTGAGAAGAAAGGCAAAGTATAAATTAAGTGAATAAATAAACAACCTTCATTTTCACTACAGTCCCCTCTCTCTTCTCTCTTTTTTCTCCATTTCTTACAGTCAAAGTAATTTTGGGGTGATGTGGAGACCTCCTTGTCTCACCAATAAAATGTCTGTATCAGGAAGTAAAGAATGGAGGTGATGAAAGCTTGTACGTTTGTTAGGGGTGTTCCTCAGAGATCCTAAACTCAGGAGATGACAGTGAAATTCCACACTGAAGGCCTGACTCTAATGAGGCCACCTGACACTTCTGAGTTGGACTTATATTCCATCCTTCCAGTCAGCCAGCTGCATTCCTGGCCACCTGGTTCCTGCCTCACTGCCACCCCCAAGCAGGAGCCAGAGGAGATAAGCCTTCTTATTCCTTCACACACACACACACACACAACCTTTTTAAAAGCAGTGCAGCAAGTTAGACATTCCAGTTCCCAAACTCTTTGTGTTATTTCTTCAGGTAAGAGTTTGGTCACCATTTCTGGTAGCCTGCTACTATGGAAATCAAACCAGAGGAAGTAATCTCAAAAGAATTCGAGATGGCATATATGGCGTGAGTGAGCAACGCTATGTTTAAAGATCCAGAACAGCAAAGGGTTAAGAAAAGTTATTGCCTCCATTTCCTGAGTGGAGGTGGTGCTGTGTCACTGGAAGAAGGGCAGCAACTGCAACTGCCTCAGGCAGCAAAATACCTTGAAACTTTACTGTTCATGATGGAGCACCCAACAACTTCTCTCTGGACTGCACTAAGCTGGGGATTTCCGTGTAAGGCAGCAGCCTTGTCAGGAGATGGGGGATAGGAGGTGTAAATGTAAACGTGAAGTGTGCCATCGAGTTGTAACTGCCTCATGGTGACCCCATGAAGTTCCACCTCATGGGGTATTCAAGGCAAAAGATGAGCAGAGATGGAGTACCCTTGGGGAAAAGCCCAATATATTAGCATTCAAAGTTGCTTTAGACCAGGCCAGGTCGTTAGTCTCATTCAGTTCTGTCTGCTCTAATTAGCTGCAGCTCTCCTGCATCAGGCAGAGAACAATCTTTCCTACCACATCTCACCTGAGGTCTTTTGACTGGAGATGTTCTATATGCTCCCTAAACTGTGAAATCTGGAGACATAACATTTCTGGAAATTTCATACCATGGGTAATTATGGGGGAAATTGAAATATATGTAGCCCCTTCTTTTTTATCAACCCTAAATGTATTGAACTGTTTTAACAATATAAAATGCAGCATTTATAACAGTTAACATAACAGTGTACTTGTTTAGCATATTTATGAAGTCTGAAAAATATAAATGCATTAGTTTTCTACATGCAAACCATGGAGGGGTGGAGGATAGCTGAAAACTGCTGTACCATAAGCTACCTTAGCACACACATCTTAGTTTTTGCCATCTGAGGGGTAGGGAGAAAAGTTAAAAATGGAAAACATGAATTTGGTAGCAGACAACAAGAAAGGAACAATTGAATTAGGATTAGCAGCATTTTTGAATATTTAGTAATTTTATGACACAGAGTACTTTGAACTTTTCAGTAGTGTACATTATTATACACACCGACTAAACTAGTTACATTTGAACAATAAACATATCTCTGAAATAGGTTGTATAGGTTATCAGTATGCACAGGAACTGCCTACTACCATTATTTAATGTTGCAGATTCTTATATAAAGCCCTTAATGTTAAACATTTTAAATTATTTATTTTTAAATTTATTTTATTTCATTTATATCCCGCCCTCCCCGCACGCGGGCTCAGGGTGGCTTACAACACGAGGTGTAATACGACACAACAATTAAAAACAATTAAGGCACCCAGTGCAATAAAATACAGTTAAAACAGTTAAAACACAGTAAGTAACTCCCAAGGATCCATCGCGACTAACAAACTCGCTCCCTATTGCTCATCGCATAGGGGTCAAAGAGGGGGATGCTGTGGGCCATGATGTTCAGATGGCCCAACCCAGTGGTACTGTTTTGCAGTCACCTGTTGGTGGTGGTGGTGGCGGCGGCTCCTATTCAAAAGCCTGGTGGAAGAGCTCCGTCTTACAGGCCCTGCGGAACTGTAACTGGACCTTTTTCTAGAAAGGATTTCACTGATTCCTAATGAGAAAATATGTCAGAGGTTTGTTTTTTCAGAACTCTTCAAAATTTCAATTTTCCCATTGAAAATAATTGGGGGGAAAGTCCTTGTTGATTTTTTTAAACTGTTTTTCCCTTCCACATTTCTACTTAAATGACAGGCACTAAGCCTGTATCCAAAGGTAAACATGGAAATATAATACCTAAACACTGCAAACTGATAGAAGTCTATCACATATATTTAAAATATTATGCCATTTTCTGATCAGGTTCTTTGTTTCCTACATCCTGAATTTGGGATGAGAAATAAGGAATCATTTTTAAAGGACAGAATGACAAATTCGCATTAAAAACTCACAAAATAGTTTATAATAAAAAGTACAATTTTTTCATCCTGTGATCATTGTCTCATTCAAGCTCCTTGTAGATCAACTTTTGTTAAACCAGTGCCTTAATGCTCTGTATTTGTGGGCTCAGCATGTTATCACAGCTTGGGTGGCTGAATAATTCCAGAAAAACTATTTTGACCTTCCTCAGTGTAATTCTGTGAGACCTGAGTCAAGGAGAACCGGTAGAAGGGGTTGCAGAAGTGGACACTGCTTCTTTTCCTGCCACATCTGCTGTTCAGGGAGATTTTCTTTCTTCTGGCTTCTCCGTTTATAGCCCCTTTCCAAAAAGCACATGATAAAGGAAGCTTTACTGCCTCTTTTCACCTTGTTTGTTCCAATATGCTCTGCGGCAAAACTGGAAGGCTACCTTTTGAGATGTATTTATGAGTTCTCTTGCACTCATTTATTCCCAGTGTGTCCCTCTCTCCTCATCTCTGACTAAAAAGAGATGCCCTAATTAAAATCAGACTTCTAAGACCCGATCTGAATCCTGTTGGGAGAAGAGGATGTGTCATACAAACCAAGCCTTAGTCATCCCCACAAGAGATGTTCCAGCACATTTACTCCATCATTTAGATGAAGCCAAGCATGCTACTCTTATGCCAATTACCAGGAGGTAAAAATATTCAGGGATAGTCTTGTTAGGTGTGATAAAGGAAAGAATCAGGCACCTTTCTTGATGTGGTTTGCAAGTACAGTGACTACAGTAGCAGTTGCCATAAATATACAAGGAACACCAGTTGGCAAACTCCTCTCCCGTGAGGCCTTTTGAATTAATATAGCTTCCTGAGAATCTTGAATTCCCAGCAGAGCTCTTGAAATTGAATTGTGCTTCTCTAAACACTTGTTTTACCCGAGGGTGGTGGTGGTGGAAATAAGGTCAGCCATGTACTGTAGTCGCTGTACTATAGCCAATGACAGTGCACTTCTGGTTGTTCTAATTAAAGATTTTATAGATGGGCATAGCAAGTGGAAACCTGGCTTAGCAAACTGACTAGTGTGCTGGGAAAACAGAGTGGAGCCGGTTGCCCTTTCTTCTGCTGCGCACCTCAACTTCCTGACAGTCTGACTGACACGTGTCCTTGTGAAACATGTGGTCGCCTTGCAACAATCACACACCATGAAATCAGCATAGGTGGACTGTGTCCTGCAGGTGCTGAAGTCAAGCAGTGAGATCCTTGGTTTGATATCTAGCTAGCTATCCTTTAGCAACTGAAAACTATGCTTATACTAAGGTGCTGTTTCATTATAACAGCAGCAGCTCCTCAAACAGAATGGCTTTTCCATCTATGGAGGAGGGCAGGGAGATTTTCACCAGTGCCCCCCTCCTCCTGCAGACCCCCACATTGCCTTCACATGGTGTCTGAGTGTCCACTGATCAGAATTGCAGGAGCAGAATTGCATAGAAGGCTGAAGGGGGGGGGGGACAGGTGAGGAAGCTCTCTCCCTTTAGTGCAACTTGGCTTGCAGTGCTTAGAATCCAAGCCAGAATTTCCTTCTTTGGCTCAGAAATTTCAAGTCCCTGATATCCTCTGATTTTTTCCCCCCTTCCTTCCCTCCATAACTAGAAGCACCATAGGTTTTGAGCTGTGATGGGTGGGAATCCAACTCTGGATTCCACTCTGAGTCACCTTTATTTGAGGGAATGTGTTCTCTACCCTCTACTTATGCATCAGCTTTCTGTGCATTTTTAAGGCTCTAGTTTCAGGGTTCGGTGGCTTGGCAGACCCATCTTTCATTTTGAAAGGAGCTAGACTTCCTGGAACCAGTGAGTTAGTTAACTCCTTCATATTCTTCAGACAGGAAATTGTATGGTACTCAGTCTGGGCAGCTATTCCAGATAAGCCTTTATCTCCTGTGCATTGGTGCCAAAGATTCCGCAACTCTTTTGAGGTGCCAGAGATTCCTCAACTCTTCCCACTTCAATCTCATGAACTTTGTCTCTGGAAAATCTTTTCTGTCATTGTGCTGTGTCATGCATTTTGCATTGATTAGCTAATGGTCCAGGAACAGGCTTGCAGGCACAACTCAACCGAGGCAAGCCATATGCACCTGGCAGCTGCATATCATCAAGCCTTGCTGGGGGGGGGCGGGGGGAGCAGGGAGCAACCCAGCAGGTGGGTGCAGCTGAGATCGGAGTTGACCCTTCCTGGTTGGGAGCAAGGGTGGAGAGGTGGAACCAGCCCTCTAAGGGAGTTGAAAGAATGGCCTATTTAAGGAGGATCTGCAGCAGGCTAGGGGAGATGTCGTATCCCTGCTTATAAATTCCTCTCTAATTGGAGGCCTTGCAGGACCTCCATTGTGGGAAGGGCATGGTGGAACACGGCCAATATGGCCTTGATAAAGGGGAGTGTCACACTAATGCCTTCCTCTGTAGAGCTTCTGTGATTAACAGCCTAATCACACAATTACTTTTAGGTCCCCTCATCATCCCCACTATCACTACATGGGTTATAGTTCCTGTACTCCATTTGATAAAATCATCATGGCACAGAGCCCTTACCATTACATTATGTGTCCTGCGGAATGTTGGAAAGTAAGTGTTTTGGGGCAGTGGCGTACCTAGTGTATTTGACACCCAGAGTGGATCATTTTTTTTTAACCTCACCCTCCTCTGTACAACAAAATTGACTGGGGAGGGAGCCTTGGCTGTGGGTGGGGCTGTCTAAAGCTCCCCATCCTCCGATGCTTCAGGAAAAGATCCAAGAAAGATCTACAGAGCTTGTCCTCTTCCCAGCAGGGAAGGAAGCTGGGCTGAGCACCACCATAAGTAACACTCTCCCCCCGGACTGGTGTCAGTCCAGAAGGAGGAGTGAGTGATGCTGTTTTTCCCCCCCCATCTCTGCATCATATTGCTTCTGAGCATGGCAATATCTAATATGCTAAGCTTATTCCTCTTCACTTCTGTCAGGAGTTTGGCCTCTTACAGCCAAATTTTATGCTCATACCAAGCTCGCTGCTGAAGGATAAGGCTTTGATTGGAATTAAAATACACCTACCTATAGGACAGCTGGAAGACAAGGTTTGCTATGGGAGGGAGAGTACAAGTCCTCAGCTTGAAGAGTTCCTTCTGTTGTACTAGAAGGCCTTACATGGGAAACAAAATAGTGGCCCTACAGGTTACGTTCTCAGAATTGCAGTTTCTTTTCTATATGACTTAATCCCAGTATACATTGCAAACACATGCATGAATATAAACACACTAAAATATGTTTGATGTCCATGAATTTGATTGCTACTGCCATTCCAACTCAATCCTAAACATGGACATAATTAGCATTACCAACTTTTAAATTCATCCCCAGTGGCCACGTTTGGCAAGAGTTGCCAAACTGTGTGGCGGGTGGGAAAAGCAATATTTTTTGCTCTCCCCAGTCTCGTCCTCCTAGAGTGTAGGCAGAGGCTCAGAGTCACAGCACCCTTCATCACCTGTTCCTCTGCAAAGCTGTCTGTCACTACTGCTTGCCCAGGCTCCTTTCCACATGGAAAAGTGGAGGAGGAGGGGGGGAGATTGGATTTATACCCTGCCCTTCACTACCCAAAGGAGTCACAGAGTGGTTAAGTGCACGGACTCTGATCTGGGAGGAACCGGGTTTGATTCCCCACTCCTCCACATGCAGCTGCTGAGTGACCTTGGCTCAATTACAAATTCTATCAGAGCTGTTCTCTCACGAGCAGTTCTCAAAAGAGCTCCCTCAGCCCCACCTACCTCACCAAGTGTCTGCTGTGGGGAGAGGAAGGGAAGGTGATAGTAAGCCGTACATCAATTGTAAGGCTACATCAGTCTCCAGTTCTGACATATTTATTACTTTTCTCCTCAGTTTGCAATTCAGGTCCTTCCTTCTTTCTCCCCCTTTCCTGCTCGCACCATCCTACAAAAGCAGAAAGCTCCTGCCAGGCAGGAGTGGAGAAACCAGCTAGGTCTGCTGAGAGGGGTATGAAGACGCTGGCTCTGTTTTGATTCTAGGGGATGTGGGAGAGAACTGCACTTTGGTGGTCCATAGGCCTTCCAGCTGCTGAAGGCAAACTGTGGGTGGAAGTGAAGGGGGGGCTACATTCTTTACAGGGGGAGGGTTGCCATCCCCTCAGCTCCTCACCGTCAGGCTTGCTTGCAGGCTAAGGACAAGAGGGAGCCCCTGAGAAGCAAGAACAGCCCTTGTGGAGCCTGGAGGAAAGTGAGTGCTGGGCTGGGGTGGACTGGACTGGGCTGGCTGCTGCTGCCTCCTTGGGAGTTAGGTCCTGGGATTCACTTGCACCACCTCTGCCTCTTAGCAGGCCAGAGATCCCAACTGGCTTGCACTCCCTCATCACCTACACCCAAGGCGGATTGCTTCTACTTCCCCGCCCTTGGTATGCCTCTGGCTTTTCGGTTATGATAAATCGTGGCCTTATATCTGATAATGTGATCCCAGGAGGAGCCATAGCTAAGGAGGAGAGAGTGTGCTTGACACACCGAGGATTCCAAATTCATGTCCTACGATTTCCAACTAACAGAGAGATAACAAGACTGAGGAAAGCATAGTCTACCTGACACCCTGGAGAAATGCTGTGAATCAGAATAGACCTTACTGGGCTAGACAGTCCAATGGTCCAACTTGATATAATGTGTTCATGTGTTCATTCTGCATTTTAAAAAAATTATTTATTTAAACATGTTTCCCAACTTAGGGTCCCCATGGCAGCAAACAATGAAAATGTCAAAACAAGACTAAAGATACATAAATATATAAAAACGAGTAGCAACAAGTAAAATGGAACACATGTACAAGAAGAAGAATCAGTGAGTGATTCCTGCTATTGGAAGACAATGATAGAAGGGAACAAATAAATCTCCCTAGTGAAGAAATTCTATAATTTTTGGTGCATGACTGAGAAGGCCCTTTCACCACCCATCTAGCCTCAGATGGTGAGGGTACCTGAAGCAGGGCCTCTGAAGATGACCACAGTGTGTTTTGGCTGGCTGATGCTGGGCCGTTGTTAGTGCCTGGGTGTTGCTATGGCCAAAACACAATACTCATGTAAGTGCTGAAGGAGAGAATATTATAGCTTCTGCACTTCAAAAATGCTGCTCATGGTGGCATATATGTGATTTTGAAATATTTTATGATGATAGCTGAATATTTGTGTACATTGCTATTTTTGTACTCTTATGTTTTGCTTTTCCCTCTTTCTAGCTTGAAATCTGTAGAGCGAACAGACTCGGGAAACTACTGGTGCCAGATTGAGACCAAGGGCAAGAAGAAGGAATCACAGCAAGTGTGGCTTATTGTGGAAGGTAAGGTGGAATCTTGCTGGCTCCTCTCCAGAACAGTCATATTGAGCTTACAGTAGTGGATTGCACGTTGATGTTTTGCCTGGCTGATGTTGGCCCATTGCCAGGACCTGTGTTGTTACTGTGAGCTAGTGAAGGATCAGAAGAAAGTGGTAGCAGCTGTAGGGACTGATAACATTAGTTTCTCTTGAATTCTGCAGGATATGGAGCACTTCCAGTGTTGCATTTCCCAACTTGTATTTGCAAAGCTGTGTGGGAAATAGACAGGAGATTGATGGAATGATCAAGTGTGAGGTCAGATACATGACGTATAGAGAAGTCCCAGGGAGTCTCCCAAGACATGCATTTGGCCTTTCTGACAAAGATCCACATCTCCTGTCCTTTTCTACCTGATTCCCTGTACACATTTTAAAAGGACAAGTAGCACCTCTAGACAACAATCTTTTGATGGATATAGACGAGGGGTTTATTGTGAGTTACTTGTATTGCAGAGTAGCTCATCATGCATTCTCTAAAAGACCCAGGAAAAGCTTGCAGGAAGATCTGCTTTTGCCCTCCCCCCCCCCCCCTTTTGTGTCATAGGATTTTTCTCTCTGCTGCTTATCTAACAGCTTCATTTCTGGTGCTCTTTCTAGTCAGTGTTCTGTTTCTAGGACAGAACAAAACTTGGTAACGTACCAGGGTGGTGGCTGGGGAAGAACTCAGAACATTTTTCATTACTTAGAAGTAGCTCTCATTAAATAAAAGGTTGGCGACCCCAAATGTAGACTGTCTTCCAGTCTCACTGCTTTGAACGTCAAAATACCCCATATTTCAGAGGCCACGAAAATAGCCCATATTTCAGAGGCCCATGAGTCTTCTGTTGTTTATCCATGGAACATGATTTTTAGGTGTAGCAAATCTGTACTGGATAAGCGTTCAGGATTTCACTTTGTGCAGAGAGGTAGCATATTAGGTTGCACTAACTGCACGCACAAAGCTAGGGGAACACTTGCTCTGCCTAACATATAAATAGTTGTCCTAAAGATACATAACTTAGACTAGATAGATGGCTTCCTAAAACTCACAACCTGTATTTCCTTGGACTGTAATTACAGCAGATCTTACAGAGCTATCCATGTCAGGTCTCTGCAGTGTCGGGAAGTATTTGGAAGGGCGTATGCTGCTGCAGCAGCCGCCTTTCTGCAGCAGGGTTAAATTGCTGAAGTAGTAGGCAGCACTCTGACTCATGCCTGAATCAGTGTCCCAGCATGGGCTCAGAGTACTGTGCTGCTTCAGGTACTTGTCTTTTGCACAGAAAGCCTTAATCTTTCCTAGTCATTAGCGATTTCATCGCAGTTCTCTGGAAGAAGAGATGTGGTCTCAGGTGACTACTGGAACCCATAAATAATGCAGGTGGGACATGTGGACTTTCTCTTCTACACTGGAGAGAAAGGATGTGCCTGTCTGCTTCTGTTTTTGACAATCCTTAACTTGTATAGTGAACTTTCCTTGTTATTGTTGCAGAGTCAACAAATGGAGTGGGAGGTGGAAGCCATTTGAAGCAAGAGATAATTTGAGAAATCTAAAGCAGGAAACAAGAGTGTAAAACATATTCTGAGTGTTTTGCACTAATCTTGCTTGCTTTGACTTAGTTTTTTTCTTCTTCTCCATGTTCCTTTTTCATTATAGATAAGTAACCACACAACTCAGGTATTGAAAGGGAGCTGTTAGGGTCACTTTTAAACTGTTCTTTACTCCTAGTGTGCCTGAGAAAGGTGAAACAGCTGCACAAAACATTGTGGTTAATTGGATGTAGACTGTGTTCAAATCCTTGTATGGCCATGGACATAGCAGGTGGTCTTGGGCAAAACAAATACCTTTCATCCTTAGTTCCCAAATTGGGGCTATTACAGTGCAAACCTATGCAGAGTTACTTCAGTCTAAGCCCATCTAAGCCCATTAAAACAATGGGTTTAGACAGGAGTTAGGGTTGCCATTCACCAGGTCCCAGTGGGGAATCCCCTGGTTTGGGGGCTTCTGCCTGCCACTGACCAACTGGTAGGCAGAGGAAACCCCACCCCCAAACAGTGACATCACCATGAGATGTCGCAGATGTAAGGCCGTCACATGGAAGTGACATCTTCACGTTGGAGACATTGTGCAGCGACACTCCGGTTTGAGGGCAATTTTATCATAGAGTTTTGCCCTCAAACCAGAGCACTGCCATGCAGTGTCTCTGACACGATGGCATCACTTCCATGTGATGTCACATGGCGATGTCGCCATTTGGGGGCAGAGCCCTGCCCCACTCCCAGAAGGCTCCCTCCCACCCTCCACTGGTGTGTGGTGAGTACCTGGCAACCCTAACTGGAGTAGAGTACTGCCCGCTGCCTGGAGAAGTGTCCTGTCTGTTTAATAGAGGCTTAATGGGATGTTATCTATGTGTATAAAGTGCTATCAAGTTGCAGCCAACTAACTGTGACCTTAGCAAAGGGCTTTCAAGGCAAGTGAGGCGCAGAGGTGGTTTGCCATTTCCTTCCCCTGCATAGTCTTTCTTGGTGGTCTTCATTCCAAGTACTGACCCTGCTTAGCTTCCAAGATTTTATGAGATTGGGCTATACCATGCCTCCCAGGATGTTATATACATCTGTGGTATTAAAAGCTTCTCAGCTACTCATTGCCACACATTAACCCTCTGTTAAAGGGACTGGTCATTTTTTTCAGGCCTGTTGACAACCATGCTGGAGTAACTACACAGGATTCCTTGCAATTACAATAATAGTTTTTAAGCACTTTGCACATCACAAAGGTTACTAATAATCCATTCTCTTTAGAGCCTGGAGCTTGACACATCTCAGCCCAGGGACTGCTGTTTCATGAGAGACTAAATGAGCTTTCATCCCATCACTTCCCGTTGCCTGAAAGGAAAGGAGCTTTAAGCCCACCCCTGAAGGGTCACATAAGCATGCAGAGCCAGCTGTACCTTTAGGCAAGGGGAAGTGGCATGCCTTAGGCAGCAGATATTGTAGTAAAGTTAAAAGACAGCACATTGTCAATGATTTACAATGAAATCCTAAACAGAGTCACTCCCTTCTAGTTCCTTTTAAATCAATGGGCTTATAACAGGGTGTAACTTTGTTTGAGATTGCACTGCCATTATTAATTTTTTCCACTGGGGGTGGGGAGAAAAGTTGGAGTTTGTTTGTTTATTTGTTGTTGTCTCATGCAACAAAATTTATGGGGGCTCTTTTTTGTTGCTTTTGATAACTTTGTTCCAACCACTGTACATGTGCCATTTGCTTTTCTCCCATTTTTGTGTGTGTTAAGTGCCATTAAGTCACTTCTGACGTATAGCGACCCTATGAATTAATGACCCCCAAAACATCCTATCATAATCAGACTTGCTCAGTTCTGCAAACTGAAGACCGTGCCTTCCTTGATTGAGTCAATCAATCTTATGTTGGGTTTTCCTCTTTTCCTGCTGCCTTCATTTTTCCCTAGCATTATTGTCTTTTCAAGATATTCTTGCCTTCCCATAAATGTGACCAAAGGTATGATAGCCTCAGTTTAGTCATTTTAGCTTCCAGGGAGAGTTCAGGCTTGATTTGGTCTAGAACCCACTGATTTGTCTTTTTGGCAGTCCACAGTATCCGTAAAACCTTCCTCCAGCACCACATTTCAAATGAATCAACTTTCTTCACTGTCCAACTTTTGCACCCATACAAATGGGGAATACCATAGTTTGAATTATCATGACCTTGGTCTCCAGCAACACATCCTTACCCTTAAGGATCTTTTCTAGCTCCTTCATGGCTGCCTTTCCCAGTCTCAGTTGCCTTTGACTTTCTTGGTTGCAGTCTCCCTTTTGGTTGACAACTGAGCTGAGGCATAGAAGATCTTAAACAGTTTCAATTTCTTCATCATCAACCTTAAAGTTGTGTGATTCCTCAGTAGGCATTACTTTTGTCTTCTTGATGTTCAACTGTATTCCTGCTTTGGCACTTTCTGTTTTAACCTTCATCAGCTGTCATTTCAGATTTTCACTATTTCCTGCCAGTAATGTGATATCATCTACATATCATCTACATATCTCAAATGGTTAATGTTCCTTCTCCCAATTTTCACTCCACTTTCATCCAGATCTAATCCAGTTTTCCTTATGCTGTGTTCTGCATATAGATTGAAGAGAGAGAGAGATCCCTGTCTAACAGCTTTGCCAACGGGGAACCATTCTGTTTCTCCATATTCTGTCCTAACAGTAGCCTCTTATCAAGAATATATCAGATGTTGTGGTACACTCATTTACTTTAATACCACCCTCTTTACCGGTTACTAATATGCAGAAGTGTGTATGTACACTGACTAAAACACTGCAGAAAGGGATCTTGATGTATTCCTACACTTCTGTCAGAACTCCTTTCTGCACTGACACTTAAAGTATATGTCCAGTCTTGTTTGTCAGCAGCCTGTAAACATAGCACAAATGTGAATTGAATATTGGGGCAGAGTGGGCATGCGCCAGTTCTAAAATTATTTTTGGACATTTTCCAACATTAAATCGGAAGGCATACAGAGCAGAAAGCGTAGCGCAGCCAACCCACGGAACAATAATGAAAGGGAAGAAGGGATATTCACTCATCCTAAATAAATACCAGCTGTCATCAAAGGGCTGCACATTTAAATAAAATTTATGTTTCAGGACAACTGAGCAGAGCGAAAGCATTTTGTAATTTGGTCATATTATTAAAAAAAGCCATGTTGTGGAGAAGGAAGATGCTCATTTGGATCCTGGTCAGAAATTTTACACTGACGGTGCTAGATTATGTTGCTGTCTCATTTCACAATGTTTGGAGAGAGGAGGAGTGACCAGTGTTCCCTCTAAGCTGTGCATTAACCAAGGATCATTGGGGACTGCTCATTAACCTAGGAAGCCCCACTCAGCAGCAATCTGGAGCCATGCAGGGTCTTGCAATGCCCATTGCCCATGTTAAATTTACAGCAGTTCTATTCTGCTCAGGATG